CTTTGCACCTCGAGACTCGCAACTCACTATTTCACCTAGGTACCCTTAAAACTAAGAGTGGGAGTTCCGAAACAGTTGCATTGGAATATGCACCCTGCTAATTTACTCATCCAGGGTACTTAAGGCATTTATACCCAGTTAGCAACTGAAGTGTCGTGACACTAATTGAGGTATATCCTAATGTTTATAGCAATAAAATAATCGACATACTGGCTAGAGCGACTTGGTGTTCTCAACACTCTCGTGAAGATCCTCATCTCCCACGTTGAACTTGGTATTCAAAATTCTCTGCTAGTCGATTACACTAGCCCTCGAAGAATAACTAAGGTAAATTTTGCTTAACCTACTAAAGTCAACCTAGTCAACACTTGGGTTCTCACTCTAAGATCCTCTAAATGAAGACTTTTCCTATTTAGTTCACTTACCACCACAAAAGAATGCATGCACCCATGCTCACTGAAGCAACATGAAAAGCTTAGACATTTGAAAACATATCTGGCATCTCATCTGCATCATCGACATCCTGACTCTACCCTTATGCTATCTGACAAGAGGGATCATATATCGTTGAACTAGAAACAGATCGAACCACTCCTCTACTCTCCTATCTGAGCATAGGACCAACACCAATCGAACTAGGACAATCCTTCACCATATGTGCCAAGGATACGCATCCATAGCACTTTTTAGAAAGCTTGAAGCACATTCCTCGATGGTTTTTCCACAATGCTCGCACTCTGGATACCTCAAAACACTATCAGAGACTCAATAGCTCGAAACATACGGTGAAGCTGGCGGTCTCCTTGAACTAGCAGAGAGAACCATATCTTTAAACTATCTATGTGCTCCTCGCCAATATATTTTCCTCTGAACTCATCTAAGAACTGATCCCACGTAGGCATATCTGGTTATAGAGCCATCTCTATAGTCTTCCACCAATCAATAGCATCACCCTTGATCAAAGAGGTTAGGCACTCTAACTTACCCCCTGGATAAGATAAAGCTACCTCAGAGTTCTCATGGTCACCCTCAACCACTGATCGACAAAAATTGGATCATCATCACCTGAACCGTAGAACTCAACTGTATTATACATCCTTAGTCTCTCTACTAGGGTCTCTAATGACACTAACACACTCTGGGTAGTCGACTGAACAATCTACGCTCTAAGAATGATGTTCACTATCTCTCTGAGAGTGGAGGGCAAACCTCTGAAGAATGTCTCATCTACGACTTCTGAGTCTAACGAAATCCATTGATCTTCTGCCCTAGGTAGGAACTCCTTAATAACACTGACTGGATGAGAGGCTCGACTCTCTATCCTATCCTTAAAACCATGCTCGAAACTAATAACCATCGCAATACACTACAAAACAGATTAAGAAAAAAAGCACCATCAGGATTTCAGACTTATACAAGTGTTTTAAGTACCTAGGTGTACATATTCACTGACACCTGACTAAAACCGACCACTAGGTCCTATGACTGACTCAACCAGGTGTTCTGATACCACTAAATGTAACACCATAAATCCAATTGGGCCTAAAGTGTTATATTGGGCCACCTAGATAACCCCATATTTTTAAAATATATTCATTTTCTTTTCAAACATATTGAATGGTATCATAATCAAACATAAATAATTGGTATAAAATCATTTTACAAAATCAGAACTCCGTGACACATAATTTAAAACCAAAATAATACAACACTGAGTTTAATAAATACACATACCCACTAAAGCTACAGTAAAGTACTCTATCGGAGATGCTGGAAGTCCTGCTGCGATGATACTCCACGAACTGCCCAATCTACTGACCTGCCAACGGAAAATATTCGAAGGCTGAGTTTACAAAGCCCAACAGTATAATTGCTAATCAAGAGCAACATAAGAATTTCATAAGCATGTTGAAGACATGACACTAAGCATTAGGTACATGCATGAGACACTAAGTATTAAGTACATGCATGACCTAGATCAAGTGCTACCTAGTTAAGGCTTTATTGCTCTATCATTGAAGTAGAGGTCTCACGATTCCATTAGTCCTCGGCTAAGGGCCTCGCTATGAGAACACCTTTAAAGGGTCTCTAACCCTAATGACTAAACATGCGATGCATTATATGAATACAAACCTGACGAACTGTGCATATTTTGGATGTAAACTTGACTAGTATCTGGTCTCACATAGCTCTCAGAAATTAGTTACTGAGGGAACCCAGTGTCACACAACATTGGCATAATTCCCATAAATCATACTGGATCATCTTATGGTTCTCACATAGCCATCAGTTAGATCCCTGAGGGGAACCCAGTGTCACATATGATCGGTACAAGTCTCGCCTAATTGAAGCATTGGCTCAGTCTCACATAGCCTTCAAGCCAAGCTTTGATATATCTGACGTATAGAACTGATGATACTATGCATGCATGACTGACACAAAGATGAGGTAGGTTTAGTGGTGTGGTAAGAGGAATTTCACGTGCATCTCAAGATAACACACTAGCTTACCTTGAATACTCAAAAGTCTCAAGATAAGAACTAAAATTTATGTGCATCGAAAGCTTACCCAACTGAACTAAACTGACATAACTACCCATGCATATCTAAGGCACACATACCACATAATAGTGATATCGATAACACACTCCTCATGAGTGTTGAGGCTTCGCACCCTAGTTAGCCCCTGAAGTGTCTCACGCACTGGTAATACCCCACTAGGGAAACTAAGGTAAACTAGGTATACCTTAACATAGTTAGACTCACTAAAGTGAAGTCAACAACACTCAACTATTAACTCGCTCGTGCTCTCATCTAGAACATTATGCGAAGGATTACTTATTAACCGTGGAACTGGCCAACCTAATATATGGCTTGGGTTTATTTCTGAGTAGAGATACTCTATTTAATCTTATCGTACTTCCCTTCAGAACCTCTTGAAGTGAAAAGGACAATTTAATCTTCCTGTTATCACTAACATTCTCGAAGCTCATGTTTTTCGCTACCACTAAATTTGGCATTTCATCATACCGCTTATCATACATCTCCTAGGTCCTAATTATCTATATACATATTCAATTAAAGATACTTTAGCGTATTATACTTATATGGTTACATCAGATGTAACATGCTCTTACGAGTGTTTTTGGTATTCATGGTCATTTGTTTCCCTTACGGACTAAATCTTACTATTACGAATCGTCCTTAGGTCTTAAGGACAAACGGGTCAAATCTGACCATCCAAAGTGAGTAGTACATATATTTTACTTGTAGTATCGATACTCTAGGGTCAAGTTTCGATACCCTTATGAGTATTGGTACCAAAAATACTTTCTGTTGTGAAATTAGGGCCTCTGTATCGATATTGTCACCCTGAGTATCGATACTTATTGGGCAATGTCGATACTCCCTATGGCAGTATTGATACCCCCAACAAAAATCTCTAATTTTTTCCACAATTTAACTAGTAACAATATTGTTCATCCCAATATAGATACTCGAACCCTAAAATAATTTATTTAGGCTAAAAAACACTCAAAATTCATCCCAAATGACTTGGTTTGGTTTCTAAACTTATTCTAAATCTTTATAGAGTTATTTGAAGTCATAAGGAGTAATAAAAACGCTTCCTTAACACCTAAAATATGATTTGATCTTGATTTTAAAGATAAACCCTAATATGCTCAACTACACAAATCTTAGAAAATACTTGAAATTTATGAAATCTTAATACTCCAAAGGATTAGAAATACACTATCTTGATAACTGAATCCCGAAATGAGCCTCTTTTAGCTAGAAAACACTGTCCTCAAGGTTTGAATAATGAAAACCCTTTTTTCTTACAAAAATAAAACCCAAAGCTTGAATCTTAAAAATGAGGTTGCTCAGGGCTTAAGGACGAAAATGAAGTATAAAAGAGCTCAAGATATTACCTTGTTAAGGAACTTGGAGAGAAAAGGAAGGAATAAGATAAATGAAGAAGATAGAGAGGAAATATGAGAAACCCATGTCCAAACTTGATATATAACCTCAAATTTTAACTTCAATTTTCAACAGTGGCATAATTAAACTTGTAATCTTTGACATTTTGTCTTTAAAAAAAATCCCCTTTTAAGGCTAATTGGGCCTAAAACCAAACCCAATTAATCCTAATAACTTAAATCATGAAATTCACGATGTCCACTTACCCCTCAAGTAAACTCAAAACTACTAGCCCAGAATTTAGGGTGTTACAAGCTGGTTGTCCATTGTTCGTCAACGTTAGATTCCATTGTTGAAAGACGTAGATTATGATCATTCGTTCCCAAATTTCATCAATCTCTTCGTTTTGACCCCTTAAGTCTGAATCTGACCTTCATTTTGTCACAACATGCTCTTAATCCGATAAAAAATGAGAAAACTGAAACATCAACCGTCATTAATTATCGTAGATGGTGGCCGTTTGGTCCCAGATTTCATGGGTTGTTTCGCCTCGACCCCTTGAGTTCAAATTTGACCTCCATTTTGTCGGAATATGTTCCAAATTCCACGAATAGAAGATCAAAAGTGAGAATCTGAAATGTTTCAGTCGAGATTCACATGTTTTGGGGAATTTTCCGACGAAACAACCAAGAGATTCTGACTCAAGAGGTCGAGGCGAAGTGACCCATGAAATTTGGGATCGAACGACTTTCGGTTTCGAAGGTCGATTGTGGGTGGTATTTTTTAAATCCCTTTTAAATTTAATAATAAAAAATACTATTTTATTATTTATTTTAAATTATTTTATATTTTAATAATAAAAAATACCATGTCATACCAAAATAATAATAAAATAATTTAGAGTGATCAAAACAGGAGCAATTCGATAGTTCAATGAGTATATTGGAAAAATTGAAAGTACAATGAGTAAAATAGGAGAGAGAGTAAAGTTGAGTGAAGAAAGATGTCATTTTACCCTTAAAATATATTTTACTTTCAATTTTTTTAAACTGTTTGTAGAATCGAACCCTTGCAATACTGTAACTCTTAAAATTTGGAGAATCATACACTTAATTACTTGAACAAAGTGTTTAATCAAACACACAACATCTTATTAATTTGAAACATGGTCTTTATTCTTAAACCATGTTTCAAAGCTCTTCCTCAAGCTCTGAACTGTCCTCGATGAATGAACCTAGTGAGCTACTATGTTTGCGCTGTGGAATGCCACTGATTTTTTCCATTTCTTCCCCACTCAGTGACCAATCAAATATTTCCAGGTTCTCCTTCATCCTCTCCCCGTTGAAGCTCTTCGTTATCACACTCGCCCCTTGCTCGTACACCCATCGTAGACAAATCTGTTACGAGTACGCACACAAGATTTTATGGAGTCAACTTAAAAAAGTATATATATAACTTCTATACTGGTATTGGATGTTGACTCACCTGTGCAGTTGTTTTCCCTTTGGCCTGGGCAACCTCTTTCAAAACAAGGCATTCGAAAATCCTGTTGTCTCCCCATGGTGTGCCTTTGGACCCCAGAGGGGAATGAGCAGAAACATGTATACCCTTTGCCTTGCACAACTCCATCATCTCCTTTTGCTGCCTAAGTGGGTTTATCTCCACCTTTTTTATACCAATTACATTGTTATAATTCGTTCTTTCGGTTGCATTCTTGTATCCATGTGTTGGACTAGAGTAACATAGATTTCGGGTTCTCACCTGGTTGACGGTTGGAGGGATTTTCGCGGACGAAAGGATTTCATCGAGCTTTCTGGCGGAGAAATTCGAGACACCGATGGATTTGGTGAGACCGAGACGTTGACACTCTTCCATCGCACTCCAAACCGATTTGGTATCGATGACGGACACTTCTTGTTTCGGAACCGGGAAACGACTCGGGTCTTTGTTGAACTTTAACGGCCAATGTATCAGATAAAGATCAAGATATTCCAGCTGAAGATTCCTGCAAAACGAATGAATTTACATACACAGAATGAATGGATCAAAAAAAGAAAGTAATATGTAGCATCACTGGTACTCGAGACTCATTTTGATGGCGGGAATGACCAAATCTTGTTCAGCAAAAGTACACCATAGCTTGGAAGTGATAAAGAGTTCATCTCGGGACTTGATGAGGCGAATTTTTATAGCCTCGGCGATTGCTTCTCCGAGTGGCTGCTCTGACCCGTAGATGAAAGCCGTATCGAAATGACGATATCCAGCTCCGATTGCCTCGACGATGGCTGATTTAACGGTGTCCGCATCGGCTGGTGGATACGAAGCAGTCCCCATGCCAATGACTGGCATGGTTAAGCCGCCACCAAGTGAAACCGTTGGAACTTTATTCTCCATAAATTTTTAGAGTTCAAGATTAACACTGTGTACAGCTTAATGATTGAAAATCATCACCTAAATAGAGTCCTAATCACACATCAAGATGATTAAAGGATTTACAATTTTCCACCGTTGATCCTTTCTTTCCTTTTTTATTTTTGACGTTAATTAAGATGCTGGTGAGAGATTTGTCTGGTGCAACAAACACCATCTGCTTCATTCATTGCGCCTTATGGACAATAAAATTTGGGGTCCATGTATTTTTGCCCTTTTTTAACTTTGCTTTTGGAACAAAACAAGTGTCTTTTATCATTTCTTATCTTCGCTGCCAAATCAAGGTGGAAATCGACACTGAGAAAATTACAGCCGAAGCTACGTCCTGGATGGATCGAAGGGACCAGGTGCGAGCGTTTCATTGTGTCGAGTCAAGTCAAAAAATTTCGAGTTATTTAAGTTAATGAGTCTTATTTTACAACTCGAAGTTGACTTGAAATTTTTACGAGTCCATTTTTCAAATTTCTATTTAAATTTAATTATAAATATTTATAATATTATAATATTATTTGATTTCAATTTAATAGCTTTATATAACCATATATAAAATACAAATATATTTCTTCATATTTTTTTCATATGTGATATACATACCATACAAAGTCGAAGGACTCGACTCAAATTTAAAAATCAATCTACTAATTACTAAAAAATTCGAGTTGTATTTTACAACTCAATTTGAACTTCAAAATTTTTTGAGTCGCTTTGAGTTTATAAAATTATAACTTGAAGTTAATTCAAGTCGAATTTTTTCGAGTGGAATCAATTTGAAAAAATCGATTTTTTTTAGTCAAATCGAGTTTTGATTACCATTAAAAAGACCGATAGGACAATTGTCCCTTGAAAATTTTAATTGTTTTAATATATTTTTTATATTTTATATTTACAATTTATTTATTTATGAAATTATATAGGTTCTTATAATTTCATCTCGTAACAGAAAATCTTATATTCGTTTTATATTTTCTTTTAAAATTATTTGGTAAAACACATAAATTTATTTATTATACGGATTGTTGTTGATATCAGTTATTCTCAGCAAGTAGCTGAAACTGCCGATCATGACTCATGAGGTCCAAAGACCATCTGCCGTCTACATTTATAAATTTAATGTAATGTAATGTAATCTTCAAAAAAATTAAAAATAAACGAAAAAATCATCAATTGGAAAACTAGTTATTTAGAAATGTAATATTTAAAAATAATTAATTATCGGATTGGAGATTTTATTTTATATTTACTAATTTAGAAAAATGTGTTACACTGATTTATAGATTTATTAAATTTTGATTATTGATGTTATAGATTAATATTATTGATCGTTATATTTTAATAATTTGGTTGTTAATTTTGATTAGTTTGATGGTATAACAAGTTAGTTAAAAGTTGTTAATTTTTAATTTGACTTTTGAACTTTAGATAAAATATTAATTTGATTTTAAATTTTAGATAAATATCAATTTTTTTTTTTGAAAAATGGTTACTTTGTATTAGAATTCACAAAGTACACCACCCCAATGACCTCATTAAAAAACCTCCCTAATCCTAAGTAGAGGAAAAAAAGTGATCCTTGGGATGGAAGAAGGTCCAACATGAACCCTAGAACAACTAGAACAACAACCGGGAACTACATCACTAGAACAACCCGAAACAGACTACATCAATGTAGCTACACACTACCCCCTGAATGAAATTCAAAAAGGAACTACACACATCCAAAACAAAGAACAAAACCATGCTACAATCTCCGAGACATAAGACAGTTGAGCATATGCCTATCATTGGTTACTATACAAAACACCGAAAAGGAAGATCCAAAATCAAAAGTATAATGAAAAGTCCTTCATCCACTACTGAAAGTGCCAGCACCAACAAGTAAGCACCGAACCAAACGAGCACCAAGTAACCAAACAAGAAGATCCAGCTTTTTCTCTGTTCTCAATTCAGAAACACTACCCAAAATGGACCACCCTAAGCTAGATCAAGCAGCACTATAAAGCACCACAAAGCATCTGCAACAACAAGTTCCTTCACCGCTACAGTGGTAAACGCCCTCCTTGCCAACAACGTGCTTCCCACCTCTAAATCCATTCTGTTTACCACTGCTACTAACACTAAAACTTGCTTCTCTACCCTTGAAACCATGGTACTTCCTTTTCACGAAGAATAACCTCTTAGAAATTTTAAGACTGAAACAATTCGCCCCCCTCGAACTTGAATTTTGAGACCTCAGCAATGGGAACCTCTAGACACCTTGAGCACTTGGATATAGAATTGGACGCCCATCTAAAATTATGTTCCCTAGACATTGGCATTAGCCCAAACTCTAATCAATAACGTGCTACTCCACTAACCCAGAACTCGAAAAGATGGTAACAATGAGCATCCCTTCTTCATAGACACCCGAAACATCCACTTTAACTCCTTCATGCGGCGTACCACCTTCCAAGAAACCATAAACATTATCATACCTCTGACTACTCGACACATTCTGCTCCTGCCCATCCAAACCTCCCTCGAGACCCACGCCTTCTTTCTCTAACAAAACATGATGATGTTCTCAAGCACCAAAACTTGCTGCCAACATTCCATTAATCGAAAAGATTCTTCTGACTCAACGCCTTGAACTACGCATCCCCCATACCACCTTTCTCGGGACCAGAATCTTCTGCACATGCCTCTATGAAACCAGAAGCCTCCGCCATTACATCGGCAACTGCAAGCCACGCTCTGCCATCGACCAAGGATCCGATAATGAAAGCACTAGCCTCACAAAATTATTGTACTTCCAAAGGAAACAACTCCCAAAACACATAAACTACTAGTAATCTCAGACCATGACTAAATGGCCCATCAATTGACACTATGGGCGCGACAAAAGACTATTAGCGACAGCACCTCATTTCCATAACCGGAACACAAACCAACAACTGCAGCAGAACCCTCCTGCAACCTAGGACACATCTCATCACCGACAACGCTGAATTTGTCGCTCCACCACCGTCTGGAGTGCCAACAAGGAACACACAATGCAATACACAAACACAGGAGCGGGCAATGAACAACATCTAATAGCAACACCCAAGAACGTTCAAATCAAGCTAAAAAATGATGAAGGGTAACAACGTCGACGAACTCCGACCTTACTGCTTAAAAGCATACTTATTAAAAAGTAAAAACAACAAAAGAAAGAAAAGAATCGGCGGCCAGCAACCAGCCTTGAGGGCTGGTGCTGCCGCATTTGAGTAATGATTTTAGGTGGGTAGGGTTTTCTGCTCTTTATCAGTACCTACATTGATCGCTCTCACTCCCTTTGAGTTGAAAATGTGTTGTTCCTCGTATTTAGATCATTTAGAGAGAATAATGTTTCCTTTACTTGACCAAAGTCTTTCATCGTCACTGTAACTCACTGTCATCATCGTTGGTCATTGTCGGTTGACATCGACCACCGTCATCGTTAACTGTTAAACCGTAAAATATTCAATCATCTCCTTTTTAGCTTCTGAAACATAATTCGATGACCTTTTTACCGAAAAATATATCGAACTCAACAAATATAACATTGAACCATTTGAATTTTTTAAAACTAAATTAAAGTTGTAAAATTTTTAATATTTGTAAACCCGAAAGAAACATGACGAGGACAAAAAATTTAAGGCAACTCTCGCAGCTTTTCATCGCAAATCTACGCGATTCTACACGACTTTGAGTAAGGACTAGTGTCAATTAAATGATTCAGCTTTCGCATTTTTTTTGGTGAAGTACAAAAATGTTACGGAAGAAGGCTATCAAATAGAGCAAAATCGCAATTGATAATTTGAGAAAATAAGAATGAAGATAAAAAAGACACAAAATTTACGTGGAAAACCCCTAAATAATATAGGGTAAAAACCACGGGCAACGGTAGAAGAATTTCACTATGAGAAAATAGAAATTACAACCTCTCTCGATCTACCAAGGAGAAAACAATGATAATTCTCTCTTGATAAAAAGGAGAAAACAACTCTCAAGAAACTCTCTAAATTCTCTCTAGTATTGGAAGAAAGCTAGAATGCTTTGGGATGATTTTGAAGCTAAATGAGCTAGAGTATTTATAGGTGAAACTTAAAGACTAATTTGTAAATACCCCAAACTTTAGTGACTAAACTTTGTAATTTTCTCTTTCTCATTTTCAACAATTACAACCCCTTTTTTGACTTAGCATATTTTGGTGGATTTAATTTTTTTTTCTCTAACTTTCAACTTGCACCGAAAGGTGCATTGAATTTTCAACAATCTCCCACTTGAAGATTTGATTAGAACAATCATATCTTCACACCATTCTTTCTACCTTGTACCTTCATGTTGCTTACGTTTCTGACAGGCCACAAGAGGATCGACACCAAGTAAACTTATCAGCATTTATCGCCTTTGTCAAGAAATCTGCTATGTTCTCTTTGGTATGGATTTTCTGCATATTTACCTTCCCTTCTTCCACCTTTTCATGAATGAAGTGGTACTGTATTTGTATGTGTTTTGTTCTTGAATGAAATGTTGGATTCCTTGCTAGATGCAAGGCGCTTTGACTGTCACAAAACATAGAGACATACTCTTGATTGTACCCAAGCTCTTCCAATAGCATCTTCAACCAAATTGCTTCTTTACTGGCTTGTGTAGCTGCTACATATTCTACCTCTGTTGTGGATGTAGCCACAACTGACTACAATTTTGAAACCCAGCTTACAGCTCCACCAGCAACTTTGAACACATATCTTGTAGTAGATTTGTTTTTATCCAAATCGCCTGCATAGTCAGAATCTACATACCCATTGATTAGTAAGTTTGATCCTCTGTAACATAATGCAATATTTGTGGTCCCTTTGATGTATCTCAGGATCCTCTTTACTGTATTCCAATGCTCTTTTCCTGGATTCGCCATGTACCGACTAACCACTCCCACTGCTTGTGCAATGTCTGGTCTTGTGCATATCATAGCGAACATTAAACTTCCCACTGCTGATGCATACGGT